TTGATAAGCAATAATCATTAAATGTCTGGGATGAGAACTCAGCAATATTATCAAGTCTAATAAACCTAATTGGATTATCGGGAAATTGTGCCCGTAATCGAATTATTTGTGCAATTAACTTTTCAAACGCCAGGTTACCAGATGACAATAGGCACATATGAGACCATCTAGAAGATGCATCTATTAAGACCATAAATATCTAAACGACCCCCTAGGTGGGTGAATAGGTCCACAAATATCCCCTTGTATACGTTCTAAAAATGTAGGGACTCTATTCCAACCTTTATTAATAATGGTCTAATAATTAACCGAAAAGGGTCATATATGTCCTTCTACTAGCTAAAATAAGCTAGATCTATCCTCCGTTATACTATTTGATCAAAATTGTCTCTGCCGTTCAAGTCTCTTGTTCAAAATACCCCTCTACCGTCGAATTCCAGTTTTAAATTATAAAAAGTCACGTGTCAGAGTCCTATTGGCTATAGTAAACCCGCCCCTCCTTTTTCTTTGACCCAGTCGACCCGCCTAAATAATCCGACCACTCGAAAAAACCCCTAAAAAAGTGCACTCTCTCTCCAACCTCACCTTTTCCTTCTTTCTTCATCAAATCATTTCTCCATCCCATAGTATTTGGAGTAAGAAGGATATGTTTTAATGTTGAGATGAAGAAGGATCTCTTTTAATATTGTTACATTTCAAAGAGAATATTAAGAAGATTTTTCATCAATTCAAACAAATAAAAACTTCAGAAGATTTGGTTTAAATGGTGAAAAATGCTACAGAATATGGAAGTGCTGATAAGAATAGGGAAATTCATTGGTATAACATAATTAGCTATCCAAGCAGATGCAACCAACTATGTGCCAATTTCAAAGTGCCGGCCTGTTTCAACGCAATTAATAATTGACACTCCTGGAACTATACAAAAGAAGGTCACGACAAGAAAAATGGGCATGAGTGCATGAAGATTCTTGTCTTTGATGAAGCGGACCACACGTTTGCAGAGATAATTGATTCTCTATCAACACTTACTATAGTTCCTTTGATTTTTTCGATAGTTATACATGTATATTTTTTTTTTCTTTTTTAAATCAGTTTTCTTTTTGTGTTAGTTGGTGTAAATTTTTTAGATTTAGTGTTTAGTTTCATAGATAAATGGGAGCACTGAGCTTAATGGGCTAATTATCCGAATGTAATTTTCGATCTTCATTTTTTGAGGAATTTGCCCTGCAGTATTTAGAGGAATGAGTTGTTGGAAAGAAGAAAGGGTGAGGTTGGGAAGATGACAGGTGAGAGATTTGGGCGGGTCAACTGGGTCAAACAAAAAGGAGGAGTGGGTTTAGTTTAGCCAATAGGACTCTGACACATAACTTTTTATAATTTAAAATTGAAATTTGACGGCAAAGGGGTATTTTGAATAAGAGACTTGAACGGTAGGGACAATTTTGATCAAATAGTATGACGGAGGACAGATCTAGCTTATTTTAGCTAGTAGAGTGATATATATGACCCTTTTCCGAATAATTAATTTTCCTTGATAACAAAAAGTACAAGAAAATTCATTATTTAAAAGAATCTTTAAATTCTTTAATAGATGCCTATTTAAGTTTTCTATAATTCGTCTCATCATTGTTGATCCAGAAAATCCCAATCGATCATGCCAAAGTACAGAATAATTGGAATCAATAACCTTTTGGTTTACGATCGAATGTGTCTCAATTACACTCATTCTTGTCCAATACAGGCCGCAAGACAAAGATGAGAACTTTTCAATAACCCTTTTTTAGCCAGAGACATTTTTGGGATATTCAAGGTTATTCTCATCTATTGTCTCAATATGATATCCATTCCGGCGGATATCTTTAAAACTCAACAAGTTCCTTCTGGACTTGGAGGAGAATATTGTATTATTTATGATAAGTATTATTCCCCTATGCAGAGTTATAGTAGCTATTCCAGAGCCTTCAATCAAATTACTACTATCACAAATTGTAGTAACATCTGTCTTACACATATTTAAATGAGAGAAATATTTCTTCTATTTGAATATTGTACGTGTCGTACACGACTCAATTAAACAAATAGTTTTACAATTAGACTTAGATCCAAGTTTGCTTTGTGAGATAACCATATTTGCTTAGTCTTTTCAAAGAGCTTCTTACGACAGTAGAGTCCCGTGCTGGTAACGTGTTATAAAAGAATAAAAGAAGAAGAATAATATTGCAGAGAAAAATATAGAGAGAGAATTATTATTGATTTGGGAATGAAATAAAATCCCTCTATTTATAGGGGAAAAGTAAAATTACATTCACCTTACATACAATTCTATTTATAACAAAACCATAATTTTAATTTAGACCAATACATTTTGAATGTAAGATCATAATTTTAATCTGGACCAATACATTTTGAATGTAAGATGTATCCCTAATTTTGTATGAACTTAGTCGAATAAATATTTAGGGTGTATGATGATGAATAATATTAGCCTAGCTAGAATCTCGAAAATGCTACTACATAATATAGGCTTTTAAACTTTTGTTTGCATTCATTCGATTTCTATTACTACACGTTGTTTCTCTTGTGTTGATTTTCTTATTGTTTTGTTATTTTCATTATTTTTAACATGGCTTCTTCATTATTGTTTTTATTTTTTGAACCTAGTGAGAATTGCTTTTCTTGAGACGACGGTCTACCAAAAATAATATTTCTACTTTCACACGGTAAAGGTAAGATTTGAGTATACATTATCCTTTCCAGACCCCACACTGTGAAATATATTAGGTATGTTATTATTATTATTATTGTAAACTTTTGTTTGTATCAAGCATGAAATGCCATTTCAACTTTAGCACAAATGTTGGGGGTTCTTTCGCCGTTGAACGTAATTGGATCATGTTTAACCTAACTAATCGTCAATTATTTTCAATCCCTCACTAACAATATTTGCTTGAATTAAAAAATTAATCTCCTAATTATCCTCCAGAAATTTTGGCTTCAAATAGAAAAATTCCTGATTTTAACAATCAACAACGAATTCCTTTTTCGTATTTCCCAATCACTCAAAACTCAAAAGTCCTGAATTGTTCATTATTTCATTCTATCCCAAATTTTATTTTAAAACATTTGACGTTTTTGAAAGTAATATTACCTCTTTTTCTCTAAATCTACTCATATGCATAATTAATGAAGTATTAATTAAGCGAAGCATTTAAAGGAAAGATAAATGATAGTTTCAATAAATATTTTTATGACTAAGGGTGTGTTTGGTATAACGGAAAATGTTTTCCGTGAAAAATATTTTCTAAGAAAATGTTTTCTTGGAAAACAAGTAGTAATCTTATTCAGTTTCCGGTGTTAGGTACGCAAATTAAGGAAAATGACTTCTCAAAAGTATTCATAAATAATTTAGATATAATAAACATGAAGCCATAAACTTTCAAACCAACAACCTTCCGAATCCACAAATTTCATAAACTTTCGAACCGCTAAACTTTCGAAACCGCGGATTTTGAACCCGTAAACTTTATAATTTCTAAACCTGTAAACTTCCAAACACATAAACCTCCGAACTCATAACTTTGGTACTTGTAAAATTTTGAACCTTTAAACCGATAAAAAAAACTAAAACTGAAAAATATATTTAAAAAATATTTTTTTCGGGGGAGGGGGTGGGGTAGAAAAATGAAAAAAACAGAAATTTGAAATTACAAAAAAAGGTAAAATTTTTTTTTTTGTCCGGGGAGGCTGGGGGTAGGGGTAGGGGAGAGCGGGGGTGGGTGATGCAGAAAAACGAAAAAACAAAAATTTGAATTGCAAAAATAAAAATAAGGTAAAAAAAGTTTTTTTTTTCCGAGGGGGGGGGGGAGGTTAGGGTGGGGGGTGGGGTGGGGTGGGGTGGTGGGGTGGGTGGGTGGGTTGGTGAGAGTGGAGAATGTTGAGAAGGAGTTTTGGAAAATGTTTTCCCTTCTCTTGATAAGGATAACATTTTCTTCCAATTGGAGGAAAATGAGTTGATAAGGAAAATATTTTCCAAAACATTTAAGCCAACCAAACATGGGAAAATTGGAAAACATTTTCCGAAAAATGTTTTCCTTCATACCAAACACACCCTAAGTTACTAAATATTTTATAAGGGGTGTATAGAAAACATTAAAACACATTACCTATCGAACGGAATACGTATATAATAAACTGATCGTTTGGTACGCGGACCAAATTATATCGGGATTATAATCTCAAGGCTAATTTATACCACATGGAAAGTGGGATATGCTGGAGTAAAAGGGATATGCTGGAGTAAGTCTGAGATTAAAGTTATACCGTATTTGGTTGGTGGTATAAATTTATTCCAGGATAAATTTATATCACCAACCAAATACGGTATAATTTTAATCCCATCTTATCACACCTTATCCCTCATAACAAACCACCCATAAGGGGTCGTTTGGTATGTGAGGTATAAGAAGGTATAATGCTGCTATAAGAATTTAATACCACCTTAATATTTCGTTTGGTTAATAAACCAGGTATAAGTTATTCCAGGATTAAAATTAATACCGGGATAGCTTATACCTTATAGAGGGTGGGGTAATTAGTACCGGCATAACTTATACATTCTTCTTACAAATTATGCAATTGTCATGTTTAATACAACATATACCAAACAATGAATAAAAAATGATCCCAGCATAACAATCTCATCATAACTTATCCCAGCATAACTTATACTAGTATAACTTATCCCGGCATAAACCGTATTCAAACCAAACGACCCCTAAGAGAATAATAGCAGCTTGATGCATAAAACATGTCGCATTCACCCAAGGTAGAAAAGTGTCACATTTTGAAGACAATTTTGCCCGGTGTCCAACATCCATCAAAATTGTTTCTTCAGCTTATTTGGCTTCTAATGTAAATGACAAAAGTTACCCAAACGCGCAAATTTGAATTTGGGATCTCAAAAATTTGAAAATTTTCCAAACATCTCAAATTCCCGCTCATTCTTCACCCATCTCATCTCTTGCCTTTTCCTTAACCAATAACTCAAAATCATTTCCTTTTTTCTTCTCCGAATACCTTAATAAACACGTTCACAAACCCAATTTCCCTTACATTAAAAAAACCAAAAAAGAAAAAAATTAAATTAAAATGTCGACGACAACATCAGTTCGCCGGCTAAAAGACCGCGGCGGCGCCGGAGTGAAGATCACCGCGCCTCCGTCCACCAAAAACCTAACCCCACTTTCCAACAAATCTGGTTCCATTACGTCCACTGGCGGGGAGAGTCTCCGGCGGTCTGCCGGTAAAGAAAACCCGAGACCGACGTCTCGACTTCGGGCCGCGACGGCGTCGACCAATCAAAAACCGACGCTTCGTGCCATGCCGAGAATGGACAAGGCAGCATCGTCATCGGCGACGGCGAACGCAGTTGAAGTTGGCGAGCCACGTGCGAGGTGGTCAACGTCGTCGGTACCGAGAGGTAGGAGTTCTAGTCCATCAGAGTTCTCTAAGACTTTGTCGAAAACATCCAGGGTTTCTAAGGTTTCAGTGAATTCTAGGGTTTTGAATGACAAAGTGAGTGAAAATGGGAATAGGGTTTTGAAAGAAATGGAGAAAAGTGGTGAACTTTATGGAAAATTTGATGTAAAGTCTGACAAAATCAAGAAATCTGAAGTTAAAATTTCTAAATTTTGTGATACAAAAGAGCTTATCTCAAGCTCAGTTTCAATAAAATCAAGTGTGGTTAATCTTAATGTGAAAAATCCTGTTCTAGATGAAGTAAAGTTGAAATCTTTGGTCGAAAAGAGTGGGAATATTGTTGAGTCTAATGTTAAATTTCCTGCTTTAGAGGAAGTAAAGGTGAAATCTTTGGTTGAAAAGAGTGGTAATATTGTTGAGTCTATTGTGAAAGATTTGAGATTGGTGACCAGATCAAATAGTCTTTCTGGAGTTTCGAAAGAGAAATGTGAAAATGAACAAGGGAAGGTTGGCATGAGTGTGAATAAGTACCCGAGTAAGCTGCATGAGAAGCTTGCCTTCTTAGAAGGGAAAGTGAAGAGGATTGCAACAGATATTAAGAGGACTAAGGAGATGTTGGATATGAATAATCCTGATTCTTCAAAGTTGATCATTTCAGATATCCAAGAGAAGATATCCGGGATTGAGAAGGCAATGGGTAATGTAGTTGATGGTGATGGAAAAATAGGTTTGCTGAGCTGCAGTAAAAATGAAAATGTGGATGCTGGTGAGAATATATCCGGAATTGAGAAGGCGATGGGTAATGTAGTTGATGGAGATGGAAAATTAGATTTGCTGAGTAGCAGTAAAACTGAGAATGTGAATGCTGTTGAGAAGATATCCGGGATTGAGAAGGTGATGCGTACTGTAGTTGATGGCGACAACAAAATAGGTTTTTTGAGTGAAAAGAGGGAAGAAAAACTTGAGGATGATGGGAAAAGCTTTGTGAAGGGATTAAACGTAGAGCAATTAGAGGCGAGGTTGTTCCCTCACCACAAATTGTTAAGAGAGAGGACATCGTTGAAGACATTAATGGGCTGTACCAAAAGCGAGGAACTTGAATCTGTTGAATCAACTAGTGAAGTGAAGCTTGAGAAGAAATCTATTAGTCCTATTGATGAGAACCCTATTGCTGTGGAGTTCTTGGCTTCTCTTAGTAAGGAGCTATCTAAAGTTACTACTAGGTGTGAGGATGCTTGTTTGCAGGTTACCAATGTTCAAGATGTGGATGATGCAGTGAGTTTGGAAAAACAAAATTCTTCTTCGAAACTGCTCAAAGGAAAAGATAATGTTGATCATCTTCTGGCAAGTGATGAGAGACTTGAAAGTTTTGATGATCAAGAGAATAAACCAGATATGATCATGGAGGAAGAGCCGGAAGATAGTTGTACTTATGAGCTCAATGAGATTGGCCGTAAGACTTCTACTGGAGGGTGGTTTGTCTCTGAGGGAGAATCTGTTCTCCTCACACACGATGACAGTTCTTGCTCCTTCCATGATATCGTGCATTGTGAGGTATTATCTTCCTAGCTTCCCATCTCTCTAAATATCAAGATGTCAAATGAAGCCGCACATGACCTTTTACAATAATGTCTCCTGTTAACACATGATTCTTAATATGCGACTTTAATAAAGTTCTGATTCGTTAAATTTTAGATAAGGCTATAGCATCCAAGTTTTTAGTTAGTTCCTTCAGCTCCTAAGAAATGTTTCCTTATAATCATTTTGTTATCATTTCAGGAGAAAGCCGAGTATAAACCTCCTGTTGGGGTCTCATCAAATATGTGGAGAGATTGTTGGATAATTCGTGCTCCTGGTGTAGATGGTTCCTCAGGGAGATATGTTGTGGCAGCATCTGCTGGAAATTCCATGGATTCAGGTTTTTGTTCCTGGGACTTCTACACTAGAGATGTGCGAGCCTTTCATGTCGATGATGGATTTAGTACTACAAGAGCACCCCTTGCTTCATTACCCAATAACCCAATGTATCGGAGAAATACTCTATCATCAATTATGGCACCACAAAATCAGCAATGGTGGTACAAACCTTGTGGACCACTCATCGTATCAGGTGCTAGTTGCCAAAGGATGGTCAGAACTTATGATATTCGTGATGGAGAACAGATCCTGAAATGGGATTTACAGAGGCCAATGTTGGCTATGGATTACTCAAGTCCCTTGCAATGGAGAAGCAGAGGAAAAGTAGTGATTGCTGAGACAGAGGGTCTTTCTTTATGGGATGTCAATTCTATTAGTCCTCAACCACTGCTTTCTGTATCATCCTCTGGTCGCCAAATTTCTGCACTACATGTAAATAATACAGATGCTGAGCTAGGTGGAGGAGTTCGACAGAGGTAAAACTGATTTAGTTCTCCTAATTTTCCCTGGTTTTGTCCCGACAATAAATTGGAACTCGACAAAATTACTTTCTCCTCATATGCTTTTCTTTCATGAGTTTCTTAATATGTAATCAAATTTCTCTTGTTACAAGTAAACATGTCCACCTGTAATATATCTCCAATAGCCATGTCAATTAGGTGGTACCCAAGACTCTTTCAACTTGAGGGGATTGAAAAAGGTTTTTTTTATTGGCTTATTGGTAATTGAATAGGGGATCTGAGCTGCCTTGTTGCTTCTGTTTAAAAGAATGTAACTCACAAAAAGATCCAAGATATGTATGTATGATGTTGTTAACACTTGATATTTTCCAAAACTAAGTTAACCATTGGTTCAGCTAATCAGCTTGTATGAGGTAGTTAAATTTAAGAAGAAAAAAAAAAAGACTTTGAAACTTGTGGTCTTAAAAGCTTGAGGGGTAAAAACTTTGTGGGGCTATGACATTTTTGTAGCTATAAAAGCTTCTCAATAAGGGTAAAATGGAAATATTAAATTTAAATTGTTTTCAAACATAGAAATGTGTCATTCTTTTTGGAATAGACTAAGAAGGAAAGTGTCATATGAAATGAAACTGCAGGAAAATTAAAACAGGTTTATATCCCAGGACTAGTATAAAGCTATCAACTGGCTACCATGTCATATCACCCTTAATTGCATCCAAGAAGTATAATTCGAGCCTTCAAACTTGAAGGAGCAGTAGTAATATACCTAGCACGGGTCTGTAGTCATTAGTCTACTTGACTGGTTCAAAGAAGTTTCTGTATGATGTTTTCTCAGTTCAAGTACCGTTATGTGTTCTACAGAACAGTAGCAAAATTCTCATTTTCAGTTCAATTATTGGGAAAGCCTTTTCATCTGTATCAAAAGTTTAAAGCTACATATTTGGCTGCAGGGTTAGTTCCTCCGAAGCGGAAGGAAATGATGGGGTGTTTTGCACTTCTGATTCCATCAATGTATTAGATTTCCGTCACCCTTCTGGTATAGGACTAAAAATACCAAAGGTTGGTGCAAATGTACATTCACTTTTCTCCCGCGGAGACTCTCTATACCTCGGCTGCACTACTGTGAAATCTGCAGTGAAAAGACAAGTTTCCTCACAGATCCAGCAGTTCTCGTTGCGCAAGCAGAGGCTTTGCAGCAACTATGTATTGCCAGAATCAAATGCTCACTCCCATTACATGGCTTTAACACAAGTTTGGGGAAACTCAAACTTTGTTATGGGAGTTTGTGGACTCGGGCTATTTGTTTTCGATTCACATAAGGATGATATATTGCAATCTTCCATTTTGGATCAAAACAATGGGCAGAATTTGAGAGAAACAATTGGACCTGATGATTTGTATTCTCCTTCTTTTGATTACTTATCATCTAGAGTTCTTCTCATATCAAGAGATCGACCAGCTATGTGGAGGTATATGTTTTAAGTGTTATATCTTTAGGTATAGTTGCTAAGTTATTTTGTAACTTAATATGTTTAATGCCCTTCTGGTTTGAGGCTTTTGGTGTGATCTTTACAGTAATCCTTTTTTCAGTGTGGAGGAACTATAGAAAGATTTGTCCTTATAGCAATGAGGACATTGCTAATTTATAACTAGCTTCTTGTTTTGTTTTGTTCTATGTTTGTTTAAACAACTATGGTGCCTTAAATGTTGACGTGTAATGCTACAAACTTATGGTTTTGTGAGTTAAGAGTGCACAATAAGGGCCAACCCGGTGCACTAAGCTCCCACTATGTGCGAGGTCGGGGAAGGGTCGGACCACAACGGTCTATCGTACGCGACCTTACACTGCATTTTTGCAAGAGGTTGTTTCCACGATTTGAATCGGTAACCTTTTAGTCACATGATAGCAATTTTACTAGTTACACCAAGGCTCCCCTTTAGTGCATTGAACAATATATGAAGTAAAAAATGGAATCATAATAAATGGGCACATTTAATCCACTGGAGCCTATTTTAGCAGAAACCAATTCAAGGTTGTGTACAAATAGGTTGGTCCTTAGGCTTAAACCCAAATTACCTTTTAAAACCCACCTAACCTATAACCTATCAAACCACCCAATAATCACCCTAGTAAAATTGCTATTATGTGATCAAAAGGTTACAAATTCAAATTGTGGAAACAACCTCTTGCAAAAATGCAGAGTAAGATTGCGTACGATAGATCGTTGTGATCCGGCCCTTCCCCGACCCCGCACATAGCGAGAGCTTAGTGCACCGTTCTGCCCTTTGTTGTGCACTCCTAACTCACAAAACTATAAGTCATTTGAACAATATGAAGTAAAAAATGGAATCATAATACATGGGCACATTTAATCCACTGGAGCCTATTTTAACAAAAACCAATTTAAGGTTGTGTACAAATAGGTTGGTCCTTAGGCTTAAACCCCAATTATATTTTAAAACCCACCTAACCTATATCCTATCAAACCACCCGATAATCACCCTATTAATATTTCACGAAATACGTATAGGGAATGGTAAGAAGAATTTCATTGAAGATTTATAACCCCAACGGAAAACTTATCCCTATCTTGTGAAGGTAGAAGTTGTTTCCTGATAGACCCTTGGCTCAAGAAAGCATAATCGCAACATTCTTTTATGGTGATGGAGAAGCCATGGAAAAAGGACGCATTAACAATATTAAGATAATAAGATAACCGAAGCAAAATAACAAACATTTCGTAATACAATTTTAAAAGCAGGAAAATACGAGAATAATACTAATGCTACTGGTCTGGAACGGAAATACACTCGACTACCTACTAGGCTTCTACCCTAATTATCGGCCTCCACGCCCCTATCAAGGATCTTGTCCTCGACAAGCTAAAAATATTCCATATTCTGCCTAATCACATCTCCTCAATACTTCTTCGACCTACCTCGACCTTTCCTTACATCCACCATTACCAACCTCTCAAACCTTCTTACTGGGACATCTGACACATCTCCAAATTGGAGTTCAGCTATGGGTATATTAGCAGAGAAATCTCTTAACGTCACGCAATCAAATTAAGAAAAAAATTTCACCAGAAAAAAAGACCCAGAATTTCACTAAAATAAGCCCAACCATTTCCTACTCATCCAAAAGCTGATGAATAACACTTTTTCTTTTTTTGCTGAAAATAACACTTTTTCTAAGCAGACCAATATTACAAAAGTTCATCATTTTTCTCTCTCAAAAAAGAAAGAAATATTTATTTGATCTTACTTCTCTGACTTCTGTCTACAGAGAAACGAAAATTCTTTTATTTGAATCATCGCTGATCATGTTATTCTATTCATACTCATCTTAGACAAAATATTACACAATAAAAAGTATTATAATTCTCTATATTTTCTAAACGTATAAAACTCCTAGAAAGCATAGTTAAACATGACTTCCTAGTTTAAAAAATTATAAATATTAAAGACAACTGATTTAATGGCATATAGTTTATTGTACCCTTTTGAATCCACTAATTCTAAATCTCGAAAACCTTTCCATTTAATGGCTTGACGTTCTCAGTCTTGTCACTCCAAATTTAAATTCGTGGCCAATTTAAATGAATGAATCAAATTAATGTGGTTTCCAAACATTAATTTGATAGGAACACTCACCTAATCTTGATTAGGATCATAGATAATAAAAAATATTTGGATATATCAAGTAAACATATTTTATGTCAAGTTCTTTTAATTTTTTGATGAATGACTTGTAGTTCCTAGGTAGTGCAGTATAGGTACATTACGAGGGAGGTTCAATGAATATTAAAAAAAATATACTGTATAATCGCTGTAAAAATAATAGCCGAAAAATATATACAATTTGTATATATATATATATATATACACACACACATTATGTATGTTATATACAACACTTATACAAATTTTATACACTTTTTCGGCTATCAGATGTAAATAATTTCTCGCGCGGGCTAAAAATGATAATACCCATGAATATTGATATATCAATGTATGCTGTTATTTTGTCTTGTTCCTAAATTTCTGTATTCTCAGATGATGTTTATTTGTTTAAAGTTTAATATCAAGATACCATAATCCAAACAAAATTATCATTAAATAGAAGGAAGAAATTGCCAAAAAAACGATTGCGTTTTCTTTTATTACTCCCTCCATCCCAAATTAGTTATTATAAGTCGCTTTTCGAGAGTCAATTATGTGAACTTTGATAGTAATATTTAAGAATGTATTTTTTTTTATCATATTGACATGAGAAGATTTGCAGCTGGTAGTACTTTTCTTATAGTTTCCGAATATTTAAATTTTAACTTAAAACAATTAATTTATCTAATTCAACTTAATTTGATGATTAATCAAATTAACTCTCGACAAATATGACGACTAATTTGGGACGGAGAGGTATCACTAGTGAAGTAAGAGTCTAGAGGTTGAAGGAAATTGCGTTTGCGTGTTTTTATTATTAAAATATTAAAATCAACAAATACTTAATTGAAAAACATAAAACATCATTATAAATGGATTTGGTTCTTTTCTTCTAGATGCTCTAAGATTCGTTCAATTGTTACGTATTAACTTGGGTGGAATAAAAAAAATTAAATTTCCATAAATAGATCACACGTTAAACAAACAAAGTCTGTTTTAATTTATAGTAGTAAACTGATTTTAGATAGACGATTTGCTTTACTTGAAATAAATTGTTATAGAAGCAAAAAGATTTTTTTAATATAGGTTTGGTCGTAGTGAATTATTTATGAAATCTGAAAGTAAAGTAACATATACTTTATCCAGTCATATCCGAGTTTTATTTTCTTTTTGAGAAGCAATTGAACCTAATTAAGAACTTACAATTTAGAGATGTTGCTTGTGTCACTTAAACTAAGTATAATTATTTATTATTCATATAATTAAAAATAAAGATGAGTGCAGTAATATTATGGTAAAAATCTCCTAAGATAAGGCAATATTTGACTTTTAGTTGTTAAGCTTTTATGTCATTTTCAATCACATATTAGTTTTCAGTTAATAGTAAAATTCCTTCAACAGTTCAAAATATTCAAGTAGCTTGGTTTCTTCATATATTTACAGTTGTATGTAAACTTTTAGTTTTTTCAAATTCTCTACAGATATATTATCTTTGTATAAGCTTCTTGCTCTTGTATTTTTCGTTTTTTATTTCTGTATTCGGAGAAACATTAAAGTATGCCAGTCGATAAATCAAGTAATAAGTATTTCCTAACATAGATCTATCAAAAGATTCCAAAGCAACCCTTTTCCACCGAAGGGTACGATAGAATGAGAATTGAAAGAGTCGTAATAGAGTATATCACAGTGCTTCCCACAGACTTTTTTCTTCCTATTTTGGTTTCTTCTTAATTATAACATATGATTGCATTGATTCTAATTAAAAGGCGTAACATGTAATTAAGAACAAATCACTTTCTTGTAATTATGTGCACACAATATCATCAAGTACAACCAAGTGTTTTGCATGTCAACTTCAATAATTTAATAACGATTTTCTAGATTTTATCCTTTAAAAGTTCTTCTACTATATATTATACACTTCCGTTGGACGACAGCTATTTGTACGAATGGTTAAATCTTCTCAAATCATAGAAACACAAAAAGATGTTTGGTGTTTTTCTCGTCTCTTATAGTCAGTTTAGCCAAACTTTTCCCAAAATAAAAGTATTTTTTTTATTTTAAAAAGTATTTTTTTCCCTCAATTTGAGGTGTTTGACCAAGTTTTTTTGAGGGAAAAAAAAGTGATTTTGGCTAGAAGCAAAAGCAGTTTTGACTTTTCGTCCTACCAAAACTACCCTTAGCAAAATATTACTCATATATACCAAAATAACTTTACTAGTTTAAGCTATTAAGTAATATATAAAGAATTTTGGGATAAGCATGTTAGGCCGAAAAAAATCAGGTGTCATGCGAAAGCTAGCAAAGCAAACCTTGAGCGACGATAAATCCAACAACAAAAGAATCTACCAAAAGAGACACAAACATTTAACGTGGTTCGGTCAACTGACCTACGTCCACAACGGAGATGAGCAATCCACTATAATAAAAAAGAGTACAAAATATCGAGAGAACAACCTCACGAAGAGGCAAACACAAGTGACACAATAACACTTGTCCCGTAAAGTTCTCCCCCTAACAAGACTCTCAAGCCCCCTATGGCTACATTGTGGATGCTACTGAATGTGAAGGAAGGATCCTCAATTTATAGAAGTCCAAACCTTTTCCTACAAGAAAAAGGACTAGCCAAATATTGGAGATTTATAATTTCCTTTTACAAAAAGGAAAACTCAGTTAAGGTAATTTTATTGCCCGTTTCCTTCAAGAGATAGGAAAACCAAATATGGTAAGAAAATTATGGCAAACACCTAACACTGGTATCAGAGCCCAGGTTCAGTGGGACGAGTATGGAGATGGCAGAGTGATGGTGCGGGGCGGCACGCACACAAGAAGAAGCTAGTTGCGGGCTTCGGTTGCCATAATACTCTAACAATGTGGGTGGCACACAGTAATCTCGAAAATTGACCCGTGGATCGTGGTAATGGGCCACGTTGAACTTAGTTCGAGGGGGAGAAATTATAATGTTTGGAGAAGCAAGATGAAAGACTTGTTATTCGTGAAGAAGATG